AAGAACCATATGATCCGCTCAATAGATGCAGAAAAAGCATTTGACAAAGTACAGCATCCATTCTTGATTAAAACTCTTTACAGTGTAGGGATAGAGGGTACATACCTCAGTATCATAAAAGCCATCTATGAAAACCCACAGCAAATATCATACTCAATGGGGAAAAACTGAGAGCTTTCCCCCTAAGGTCAGGAACACGGCAGGGATGTCCACTATCACCACTGCTATTCAACATGGTACTAGAAGTCCTAGCCTCAGCACTCAGACAACAAAAAGATATAAAAGGCATCTGAATCAGCAAAGAAGAAGTCAAACTCTCACTTTTTGCTAATGGTATGATACTTTATGTGGAAAACCCCAAAGACTCCACCCCGAAATTGCTAGAACTCATACAGGAGGAATTCAGTAAGTGGCAGGATATAAAATCAATGCACAGAAATCAGTTGCATTTCTATACACCAACAAAAAGACAGAAGAAAGAGAAATTAAGGAGTCAATCCCATTTACAATTGCACCCAAAACCACAAAATACCCAGGAATAAATATAACCAAAGAGGCAAAGAATCTGTACTCAGAAAACTATATAATACTCATGAAAGAAACTGAGGAAAACACAAAGTGGAAAAATGTTCCATGCTCATGGATTGGAAGAACAAATATTGTGAAGATGTCAATGCTACCTAGAGCAATCTACACATTTAAAGCAATCCCTACCAAAACACCATCAACTTTTTTCAAAGAAATGGAACAAATAATCCTAAAATTTGTATGGAACCAGAAAGACCCCAAATAGCCAAAAGAATGTTGAAAAAGAAAAGCAAAGCTGGTGACATCACAATTCTGGACTTCAAGCTCCTTTACACAGCTGTAATCATCAAAATAGTACGGTACTGGCACAAAAACAGACACAAAGATCAATGGAACAGAATAGAGAGCCCAGAAATGGACCCTCAACTCTATGGTCAACTCATCTTTGACAAAGCAGGAAAGAATATCCAATGGAAAAAAGACAGTCTCTTCAAGAAATGGTGTTGGGAAAATAGGACAGCCACATGCAGAAGAATGAAACTGGACCACTTTCTTACACCACACACAAAAATAAATTCAAAATGGAAGAAAGATCTAAATGTGAGACAGGAATCCATCAGATTCATAGAGAACACAGGCAGCAACCTCTGTGACCTTGGCCGCAGCAACTTCTTGCTAGACAGGTCTCCAAAGGCAAGGGAAACAAAGGCAAAAATGAAAATTGGGACTTCATCAAGATAAAAAGCTTTTGCAAAGCAAAGGAAACAAAACCAAAAGACAACAGACAGAATGGGAAAAGATATTTGCAAATTTCTTATCAGATGAAGGGCTAGTATCCAAAACCTACAAAGAATTTATCAAATTCAACACCCGAAGAATAATCCAATCAAGAAATGGGGAGTACAGACATTTCTCCAAAGAAGACATCCAAATGGCCAAAAGACACATGAAAAAGTGTTCAACGTCACTTGGCATCAGAGAAATCCAAATCGAAACCACAATGAGGTATCACCTCACACCGGGCAGAATGGCTACATCAGGAAATGACAGATGTTGGCAAAGATGTGGAGAAAGAGGAACCCTCCTACACTGTTGGTTGGAATGCAAACTGGTGCAGCCACTGTGGAAAACGGTATGGAGGTTCCTCAAAAAGCTGAAAATGGAGCTACCTACAACCCAGCAATTACACTACTAGGTACTTACCCCAAAGATAGAAATGTAGTGATCCAAAGGGGCACCTACACCCCAATGTTTATAGCAGCAATGTCCACAATAGCCAAACTATGGAAAGAACCCAGATGTCCATCAACTGGATGGAACTAATGATGTACTGTATGGTAACTAACATAACATAATAAAAAAAAATAAATTAATTTAAAAAAACCCCCAAAACACTGATGAATGGAGAAAGAAGATGTGGTATATATAGAGAATGGAATACCACTCAGCCATCAAAAAAAATAAATAAATAAAAATAAATTAATTTAAAAACCCCCCAAAACACTGATGAATGGAGAAAGAAGATGTGGTATATATAGAGAATGGAATACCATTCAGCCATCAAAAAAAAAAAAAAAAATGTCATTTGCAACGACATGGATGGAACTAGAGGGTATTATGCTAAGTGAAATGAGTCAGTCAGGGAAAGACAAATACTGTATGATTTCACTCATATGTGGAATTTAAGAAACAAGGCAGATGAACACAGGGGAAGGGAAGGAAAAATAAAATAAGATAAAAACAGAGAGGGAAGCAAACCCTAAGAGACTCTTAACTACAGGGAACAAACAGAGGGTGTTGGAGGGGAGGTTAGTGGGCGGATGATGTAACTGGGTGATGGGCAATTAAGGAGGGCACATGATGTAATGAGCACTGTGTAGTATATAACACTGATGGATCTCTGAACTCTACCTTTGAAACTAATACTACACTATATGTTAATTAATTGAATTTAAATTTTAAAAATATAATAAAAAAATAAACTATATTGTTGGGGTTAAAACATATGAAAGCCTATATTGATGACAATAATAACAAAAAAAGAGAGATAAGGAAATCAATATATTTTCTGTTAATACTGATAGACACCTAACAACTGATACAGCAGTAACAAATGGATTCTGGAAATAGAGTTGACCCTTGAATAATGCAGGGGTTAGTGGCACTGAACCCTGTGTGGTCAAAAATCCATGAATAAATCTGACTCCCTAAAAATTTAACTATTAATAGCCTATCATTGACCAGAAGCCTTACCAATAATATACACAGTCAATTAATATATATTGTATTCTTAAAGTAACCTAGAGAAAATATTTTTAAGAAAATTATTCAGAAGAGAATATACATTTACAGTACTATACTGTATTTACTGAAAAAAAGTGTAAATAAGTGGGCCCATGCAGTTCAAACCTTTATTATTCAAAGGTCAATGTACTTAAGATTATAAGCAAATACCTTCCACAATTTTATAACCCCATTTTTCAGAACAAAATAATTTTTAATTCTTTCAAATACTTATACATACATATTTCCTCTGGCTGTTAAGTCTTCTTCAGGAAGGTCTAATTTATCCTCCTCCATATTGCTAACTTTTACTTGTTTCACTACTTCCAAAAGCAATGAATCACTGGAAGGCTGTGAGTGTTGGATGCCTGTTTAAATAAATACAAAATATCTTTTAAACACAGTAAAAAAAAACCTCATTACAGTCCTTCTGTAATTTCTGACTGTTAATTACATCATCATCATCATCATAATGTGTATTTTAAGTAAAGGAGAAGGGTAGGGGAATTGGGTGAAGGGAGTCAAAAGGTATAAACATCCAGGTGTAAGATAAGGGAGGTATTGGGGATGTAATGTGCATGGTGACTAGTTAACAATGCTATATGGCATATTTGAAAGTTGCTCAGAGAGTAGATCCTAAAAGTTCTCATCATAAGGGAAAAAAAATTTTGTAACTGTATGATGTGATGGTTAACTGTACATTACTGTAATCATTTTACAATATGTGCATATCTCAAGTCATTATGCTCTACACCTTACACAGTATTGTATGTCAATTATATCTTAATAAAACTGGAAAAAAACTAAGAAGGACATAAAGTTTTCTAAGATAAAAAAGCAATTTACTGGGCCCCTGAGTGACTAAGTTGGTTTTTCATCTGACTCTTGTTTTCGGCTCAGGTGGGGTTGTGGGATTGAGCACTGTGTAGGGCTCTGTGCTCAGAGGGGAGTGTGCTTGGGATTCTCTCTCTCTCCCTCTGCTCCTCACTACAGAAAAGTTTTTATACATGATTTAAAATAATCTAGGTTGTTTGTGATCTTAAAAACTATTACATGTATAATAAAAGGAATAAATGTTTTAAAAATATGTTATCTATTTTAATGATGGTATTATTTATATTTAAAAATGGGCCAAGTAATCTCTTTAATCTAATTTAATTCTAAAGCATGCCAAAAAGTTATAGAAAGAATTATTCTCACTGTATTAATTTAATAGAACTATTTTTACTTTGTATTTGTACTAAAGAAATATTAAGAAAGAAGATAACAAATTATCTTTAATTGGAAGAGAATACATAACCCAAGAGCTGAAGTTTCTTTTTTTCTGGAGCACATGAAATTTAAGAAGTAATTCTGGATACAAATATACACAATAAATGTAATGCATTTTATAAACTATACATTTCGTAAGAAGGCAGGGCTAGTGTAATGGGAAGAACAAAGGCTGTGAAGTGGTAAACTTATACTCGAATTCTGTTCAGCCATTTATTAACCAGGTGACCCCTCTGCATCTGTTTTCTTAACTGTGAAATGGAGATACATCACATCACAGTAAGTATAAAATAAATGGCAGCTATCATTATTATACATTCACCCCTCAATTACCTGAGTGACATAAGAATAGTAATAAAAATAACTGCATAATTTATAGGTAGGACTGGGAAAAATTTACATATGTAACTATGAATAAAGATATTTCAGTTGTGGGAAATAAAAATAATTCATACCAAATAACAAAACATTATAAGGGTGCCTGGGTGGCTATTTCAGTTAAATGTCTGACTCTTGGTTTCAGCTCAGGTCATGATCTCAGGGTTGTGAGGTCGAGCCCTGAGTCAGGCTCTGTGCTGGGTGTGAAGCCTGGTTAAGATTCTCTCTCTTCCTCTGCCCCTCCATCTCTCCCTCTCTAATAAAAAAGAAGAAAACAAAAAAACCCTAAGTATCAAGACATTATAAAGATGACACATCCTCCCTTGTTTCTCAAATGGTTTCATTGCTTAGACATAAAAAAATAAATCAACGTAATGTACAGTTGCATTTTTCTATGTAAATCTGCTTTGATCACACCTTTGTCTATACCTAAGAAGTACTGGCTCACACTTTTCCTAGAACAAGTAACTATTTTTACTGAACATGTTTCTTCATGTGGTCTAATTTATTTCATATGGCAAAACTTAATTAAAGCACATGAGAATAATAAAAAAAAAAAAAAAAAAAAGCACATGAGAATATGCAATGAAAACTGAAAATAAGGAATCTAGATAATCTGATACAAATAGAAAACAGACTTTATGTAGATGAATGACACTACTCCATTAAGAGTGTGGTGAATAAGGGGAGCCTGGGTGGCTCAGCTGGTTAAGCATCTGCCTTCGGCTCAGGTCATGATCCCACGGTCCTGGGATGGAGTCCCGCATCGGAGTCCCTGCTCAGCAGGGAGTCTGCTTCTCCCTCTCCCTCTGCCCCTCCCCCTGCTCGCACACTCTCTTTCTCTCAAATAAATAAATAAAATCTTTTCTTTCTTTTTTTTCAAGAAAGACTGGTGAATAAAATGAGGATGGGAAACACATCAGGCAAAGAGGCCAGCTGGGAAACTATGTTAAGTTTGGGAAAAGGTAGCACCAAGCTAAGCCACGGCAACAGCAAAGGGAATGAGAATAAGGAAAAACATTCAAAAGATATGTAAGGGAGAATTAAGAGGACATTGTACCTAAAAAGCTATTATGTGTAGGGGATTAGGAGGGATGAGGATAGACTCATGGCTAATATTAATGATTCTGAGTAACTAAAAGATGGAGAAAATAAAACTACAACCCAAGATACAAGAAAAGCAGAGTCTAGGGTGAGGAGTAGACAAATGAGAAAAGATAATGAATTCAGTTTCAGAAATTTTATATGGAAGCCTCTGTGGAAGAGGTAAGCCAACAGACAGACACGCAATTAGAAACAGTGTAAAGTTCAAAAGGCAGGTAAGAATTAGAAATACGGGGGGAGGCGGAGCAAGATGGCGGAGGAGTAGGAGACCTCGATTTCGTCTCCTCTCAGGAATTCAGCTGGATAGGGATCAAACCATTCTGAACACCTACAAACTCAACAGGAGATCAAAGAAAAGAATAGCAACA